TGGAGTGATCTCAGAACATTTTTTCCTGTTAGTACCTGAAATTCCCAGGATCCTAACTCCTGGATTTTAATTTTTTTTTTCTCCTCCTCACAGCCAACCCAAGACATCAGGTTAAGTCCCCAAACCAGCTCTGAGGATCTCATTCCTTTGTAAGCAGCAAATTCAGCCCCCAGTACCCTCTTTAAAATGCAAATGGCCGTGAGAAGTTGTAGATGATTAGCTGGATTGTGTGAAAGTTTTTCCCAGATGGCCTAAGAGGCTTTTCTACTTTTCTAGTGGGGGAGGGGGGAAGAGAGCCAGCAGCTGGGGAGATTCCCAAGGTACTCACATTTTTTTGTTTGCTTGTTTTTGTTTTGTTTTCTCCCATAGACTCTTTCTCTAAACTGTTGCTGAACCGTGTTGCATAGCCAGCGGGGCCTGGTGGTTCAAGCATGATGGTTATAAATTCAAAGCCTGTCTGGGCTACAGAATGAGTTTAAGGTTGGCTTGGGCAACTAGTTGAGACCTTGTCTCAAAAAGACAAAGTACAGGGGCTGGAGAGATGGCTCAGAGGTTAACAGCATCTACTGCTATTCAAGAGGTCCTGAGTTCAGTTTCCAGCAATCACGTGGTGGCTCACAATCGTCTATAATGAGATCTGGTGCCCTATTGACGTGCAGGCAAGCATGCATACAGAACACTGTATGAATAATAAATAATTTTTTCTAAAGAAAATACAAAAGGACTGGGAGCATAACTACACATAGCATGTGTCCTGGGTTCAGTGTCTACTAACAACAACAAAAGTGCTATAGAGTATGTAGGAGAACCTTCTAAGGGTGGGGGGGAGACGATGTCCAGTACAATCTGTAGCATTCAGAGGGCCCTGGGTTGGATTCCCACACACTCCTGCCAACCTGGGAAGTCTGGTATGGAGGCACATACTTGAAATCCCTGACTCACTTGGGAGATGCAGGCAGGAAGATCAGAAATGTGTGCTTATCTTTTTACCTACATAGTTAGTGTGAGGACATCCTGGGTTAGAGACCCTATCCCAAAACAACCTCCAACCAAGAACCTTCTGAACTTGTCCTGTCGACACCATCCCTTTTATGGATTAATAAATGCAGACTAGGGCCAAGTGGTATAATTCAGCTGCCATAGTGCAGTCTCTACACACCCTCTCAGGGGGTCTTCACGCTCAAGGATTATGCCTGTTTGACAGAAGGGTAAATTGAGGAAGTTCACTGCCTCACAGAGCCCCGACTGTATAGGGGCCCCTTTGTGCTCTCTCCTCAGCCTGGACAGCCAGGGTGTGTGTGTGTGTGTGTGTGGGGGGGGTGATGGTGATGGTGAATGGCCTTTTCTGAACCTCTTGGAAGCCTGGAGAAGGACTTGATGAGCAATCTGAAGAAATGCATCAGGCTGAAAAGTGCTTCGGACCTGACCTGTCCTTGCTGCCCTTAATTGTCGAAAATCCTTTTTATTGAATTATCAGAGGGTAATGGAAGAGTCAATAAGAGTCGTCACTGAGTTCCAAGGCCAATGCTTGCTGGGCAGAAGAAATCAAAGCTCTAAAGACTCCCTGCACCCAGCAATGATATGAAATATGTATTTTTACATAACTGGGAGGAAAAAAAAAATAAACGACAAGGCTGCCCCATGGGGAAACCGCCTTTCTTTATTTCCATTATCTTGTTCAGTGCAGGATCTGGGCAGGAGCTTCAGTGGGAAAGGAAATACCAGAACCCTCTCCCTCTGAGCCTCCTGGTGGGCAAGGAGGCAGTGGGAGCCAAGAAACAGAAACCCAAAAGGCTGTTGGGTGTGTGCTTGGAAAGCCATTAAGCTGGAGGGGTCGGCCTGGGGTAGGGCTGGCAGAGACAGTGTGGGTTAGGGACGGCCTCTACAGATGAAGCTGTGCTCCTTGTGGGCTCAGTCAGGCTCACCATTAGCTTCACGGAAAATACTGTAAGCCTGACTCTCTCCTGAGGCGGGCCATAGAGCAGGACTTTTCAAAGGCACAACCCTTACACCTCGGTTTGGTTTCATATGTACAGATGAGGACACTAACTTGCCAAAGGTCACACAGCCAGTGACTGCAAGAACATTATTTTGTAGTTTTTGGTTGCTTGTCTGAGACTCTCAGGGCTCAAACTCAGTTAATAGCTGAGGAGAATGGCCTTAAAGTTATGGTTTTCCTGCCTCCACTTCCCAAGTGCTGGGATTATAGTAGGCAATACCATTCCCGGTTTAGATAGTGCTGAGGGTGGAACCCAAGGCCTCCTTCATGTTAGGCATGCACTCTACAAACAGCCACATTCCCCAATCTCTGCCCTGGATCAATAGGAGCCAGAGGTCCCTTTGTTAGCATGTAGCCAAGCCACCCAGACATGGCAGGCCACAAACAGAAAGGGAAACTGTCTAATATATCTTATTTTTGATCCTAAAATTAGGTGCCAGGGACAGAATTCTCTGAAGAAAGTGTCAGTGACCACAGTGTAGCTATGGCATTAAAAGCCGAAATCTAGCTGGGCAGGGCTGGTATACATCTTTTTAATTAATTTTTTTTATTTTTATATGCATTGGTGTTTTGCCATGGGTGTTGGGTCCCCTAGAACTGGAGTTATAGACAGCTGTGAGCTGCCATGTAGGTGCTGGGAGTTGAACCGGGTCCTCTGGAAGAGCAGTCAGTGCTCTTAGCAACTAAGCCATCTCTCCAGTCCAGTGGTATACATCTTTAATTCCAGCACTAGGGAGGCAAAGTCAGGTGAGTTCCAGGCTAGCCTGGTCTACATAGTTCCAGGACAGCCGGGGCTACACAGAGAAACCCTGTCTTGAAAAACAGACAGACAGACAGATAGATAGACAAATAGCCTCAATCTCTACAGAGCAGGAAAGCTTGAGTTCTAGTGTTTTTGTTATTTTTAAATTTTTTGAGACAGGGTTTCTCTGTGTAGCTTTGTAGATCAGGCTGGCCTCGAACTCACAGAGATCCGCCTGCCTCTGCCTCCCAAGTGCTGGGATTAAAGGCGTGCATCACCCCTGCCGGACTCTAGTCTTATTATTTATTTATTTATATTTCATGTACATCGGTGTTTTGTTTGTATGTATGTCTGTGTGAGGGTGTCAGATCCCCTGGAACTGAGTCACAGTTGTGAGCTGCCATGTGGATGCTGGGAATTGAACCTCAGTTGTGTGGGAAAGCAGCCAGTGCTCTTAACCACTGAGCTATCTCTCCAGCTCTGAGTTCTAGTCTTTTACTTCCTACATGATACTAAGCAAGTTGTAGGTAAATAACAGATTTGAGTGATTTTCTTCCAGCTCAACATTAAAAACTGATGGATGTCAAAAAAACCAAAACAAACAAAAACAACAACAAAACTGATGGATGTATAAAACCAAACCAACCAACAACAACAACAACAAGAAAAAAAAACCCTGATTGGTTGGGAGTTGGTAGCACATACCTTTAATCCCAGCACTCAGGAGGCAGAGGCAGGCAGATCTCTGTGACTTTGAAGCCAGCCTGGTCTACAGAGCGAGCTGCAGGACAGGCTCCAAAGTAATACAGAGAAACCCTGTCTCGAAAAACGAAAAACAAAAAACCCCTGATGGATGTGTGACGCATGCTTGCAATCCCAGCATTTAGGATGCTGATGCAAGAAGATCCTGAATTCAAAGCTAGTCTGGGTTACTTAGGAAGAATTTATCTCAGAGTAACAAACATGAGCCAGTTGTAGTGGCACATGCCTTTTATCCCAGCATTTGGGAAGCAGAGGCAGGTGGATCTCTGTCAGTTCAGAGATCCTGGGCCAGACTGGTCTACATAGTAAGTTCCAGGACATTGAGGGATATACAGAGAGACCCTGTCTCAGACAAACATGCAATGACCAAACAAACAATGAGCTGAAGAGATAGAGTATGAGTTAAGAGGGCTTGCTTTTCTTCCAGGGGACCAGAGTTCAGTTTCCAGTTCCCACATCGGGCAGCTGAAAAGTGCCTATAATTCCTGCCCCAGGGGATTCTAACCCATTGGATCTCCTCCCAGACTCACTAGCCTGCTGAGGATGGAAGTTAAAAGAACAGATTTTAGTGGGGCATGGTAGTAAGTATTTATAGTTCCACCCCAGAAGCGGGGAAGCTGAGACTGGACAATATTGAGTTCAAGACCATACTAGTCTACATAGCAAGATCATATCTCAAAAGGGAGTGGGACAGCCAGGCGGTGGTGGCGGCCACGCCTTTAATCCCAGTACTCTGGAGGCAGAAGCAGGCCGATCTCCGTGAGTACTAGTTCCAGGACAGTCTCCAAAGTCACAGAGAAACCCTGCCTCGGACCCCCACCCCCCCAAAAAAGGGAGTGGGACAGGTGTTAGAACATTAGATGATTAGATGAGCCTGATCTAGTGGCTCACTTATGCAATGCCAAGCGTTTGGGAGGCAGAAGCAGGAGGATTGCTTGGGCTACCTAAGATAGTTCAAGGGCTGCTTGGGCTGGAAAACAATGAAAAAGAAAAATCGAAAAGAAAAAAACTCAGGCTATACAGCCAATAAAGGCTTATGATGGGAATTCAACCCGAGATCCTGTTGGTAGAAGGAGAGAACTGACTCGTGCAGGCTGTCATCCTATCTCCACACCGCCTGAGACGCGTGCATTTGCGAGTACACACACACACACACACACACACACACACACACACCCTAAAATGTTTTTTTTTAATTCTTAAGTCAAAGTAAACCAAACCAAACAAACCTCTCCGACCAAACACAATAAAGAAAAACGAAATAAAAACCTAGATGAAGAGTAAAGTCCTTTGTAACTCCAAGTTACAATGGCTGGGCTGGGATTCGAACGAATGTGAACTAGGAAGTCTCCTTAGGCCGGCCCCGTGCCACAAACTACAATTAAGAGTGGAGGAAGTCGAGGACCGTGAGGCTCCTTGGCTGCCACCTGCGGGTGCGTCCTCAGCCAATCAGTGGCGCCGGGGGCGGTGCCTTCAGCGCACCTGGCGGCCGCAGCCTCTGCCTGGCTCAGTGGAGTGGGGAGCAGCGGCGTATCGGTGAGTTCTCCGCAAGTTCTGCTGGACGCCAGCCCGGCCTAACCCGGCCCTGCCCGACCGCACCCGAGTTCCGTGTTTGTTCGGCGCCCGCCCGGCCAGCCATGGGATCCCTGTGCCGCAGCCTCTCCGCGATCCTGTTCCTGCTGCAGGTACTTGGAGTGTCCCGACTCCCGGCAGGACGCCTTCCGGCCCTGCGACCCGCTTCGCCGTGCCTTTCTGCCTGCTGCCATCCCTCTTTCCTTCTTCCAAGAAAGTTGGGGTTCAGAGGGCCAGATCTCCCTGGAGGCTGCGCGGCGCTGTGGAGTGGGAGGGGGGTCCAGGCGAGCGCGGAGTGGCCGCCTCTCCCGCAGGTTCCCAGGTGGGGGCGCGCCACGCTGCGGGCTCCCGGGACCCCGAGTTGAGCTGGGACCCGCTTTGAGGCGGGCAGAGGGGGCGTGGAGCAGGATGGGGTCCTGCATGAAAAAGGGGTGGGGGACAGAAGCAGCGCGGGTGATCCGTGGTAAGGAAACGGACTTTAGTAGCATAAAAGCACCTGCCGTGGAAAGAAGGGACACGGTAGCCTGGGGTTGGGGGCCCCTGGAGTAAGAAAGAAGAATCAGGGTGTTCCTGGAGACTGTTTGCGGTCTCAGGAAAGTGGTGTCCGGAAGAGTTAAGGCGTCCCCAGTGTGATGCAAATGGAGTCAGGCAGTAAAGGTAGTCTAGGCTGAGAGGTGGTGACCCTAGAAGTCCCCTCCCCCAAGGGTTCTTGGAGTTTTGTGGCTGGTTTCGGGTTGAGAGGGTGGCGTCCATGTCTGCCCCGAGGAGGGTCCTCCCACAATCCCGATACCCAAGGCGAGGGAAGGGTTACGTTGTTGGTTTCGGTGTGGGCTTCCCCATGTCACCAGGTCGTTCACCTTTCCTCCACCCCAGGTCTCATCATGGCTCTGCCAGGAGCTGGAGCCGGAGCCCGAGCCCTGCCGTCCCGGCTTCAGTGCCGAGGTCTACAGGTTCCAGGTACCGGGGAGGCACCTGGAGAGAGGCCACGTCCTGGGCAGAGGTAAGGGCGCTCTGCTGGTGGGCAGCGTTGGGTCGGGTGGGGAAGGTGCCGAGAAATTGTGCTCCCAAGCCGGTGGGATGGAATGGACAAAAGTCTCCTTTGGGATTTACGTCGATTTGGGAGTCTAAATTTATGGATTGTGGTTAATCAAGGAAGATATGTCTGGCTGTGCTATTTATGCAAGGACCGGGATGGGCCAAGGGTATTTAGAGGTTATCAGTATTTTCTCTGACTTATTTATTACTGGAGCCAGCCTATCATTTTAGACCGCCAAAACCTGCTGGGTAGGGCCAGTTGGCCGGTGTTCCCATTTAATGATGAGCAATCGAAGGCTCAAACGGTGATTTTACAGGGTCAGCAGGGCAGGCAGGCATCTGAACCGGGATTTGACTCCCACTATTTAGGCAGTCACTAAGGAACAGGTTCTTAGTGACTTTTGTTCATAGATATGAAAAAATTTGATTACAGGTGTTGCTTCTTCTGACTTTTTTTTTTTTTTTTTTTTTGTATTTCAAGTCAGGGTTTCTCTGTGTAGCCCTGGCTGTCCTGGAACTCACTCTGTAGACCAGGCTGGCCTCGTTAGAAAAAGATGGTAGCGATGACTCATACATGCAAGCACTCTATATTTCAAGTCTTATCTCACTGTGATAATCTAGAATTTTCTTTGTTTCCCTGTTGGGCCTGGCTGGGAACATGGCAAGAGGACTAGGTTTTTTTTTTTACTGACTTCCCTATTTCCAGATGTGTCTTTTGTACCCAAACGTCTCTCATGATAAAAAAAAAAAAAGAATATGAAAAGGAAAAGTCACTCAGAATCCCTTCTTCCAGCCAGAGGCACCTGAAATCCCAATCATGACAATGGTGTCTAAAGTTTTGTTGCTAACTTTGAAAGTTGTGCCCAGGTTTGATGTGTTTTACAGAGAAACAGCAGCTCAATTGATTAGTTGTATTTGCTTTTCTGAGACATGACTGTTCTGTGGAGTTTTCTCCCTGCTAAGGAAGGCCATGCTGCCCTGTACCCTGAGGTGGGAGTGACCAGTGCTTGTCCAGCCTATCTCTACTTGCTGTTCATCTGAGGATTAATCTGAGCAGCTGGGGAGGTTGCCGAGAGCATTTCAGGAGGCCCTTTGGTGGCTCTTTGGGACAGGCTAGTAGGTGTGGGTGGCTTAGGCTTCTGGAAAGACACCAACCACTCAGTCTTGAACTGTGCAGGATTAGACGTGGGAATTCATGAGTATTTATTAGGTATCCCAATCCAAGGGCTGATAGCTTTGTTTTCCTATGGCGAGATGACACATTGTTGTGCCTTAGTTAGGTTGGTATTTGTGTGCATTTGAAGTGCTGAGGATCAAACCCAAGGCCTGCTACATGCCAGCCAGGCACTTTCCATCTGTCTATTGGTGGGTTATTGGTGGTTTCTTTTTCTTTCTTTTCTTTTCTTTTTTTTTTTTTTCGAGAGACTTGATCTCTCTTACATGAACTGGGCTGGTCTGAAGTTCGAAATGTGATCCTCCTGCCTCAGATTTGAGTGCTGGGATTATAGGCTCACCTTGGCACTAGTCTGGCTTTTATTTTGCACATCTAAGCTCTATCATTCTGTTGACTTATGCTCCCAACTGTGAGCAAGTGTTTCATTTATTTACCTGAAGTGAAAATGAGAACTTCTGGAGGGTGGACATCATTCTAGTCTTTATAGACTCAGGGACTTGCCTGGCTTCTGTGTTGTCTGAAGCATCTAAGACTAGTCTTTTTCCGTTTGGTTCCTTTTTCTCTCAAAGAGAGGGTGGGGGCAAGTGAGAACTGAGGCTTGGTGTGGTGGTTCATCCCTATAATCAGTGCTTGGGAAGCTGAGGCAGAAGGATTGCTTAAAGTTGTGAGTTTGAGGTTAGCCTGGTCTATGTAGTGAGTTCCAGACTAACCTGTGCTACAGAGTGAGATCAGACTTTAACTAGAAAAACAAGAAAGAAAAGAGAGGGAGGAAGGAAGGAAGGGTTGAAGAAATAGTAGGGTATGTGTGCCTCTGTTTGGGGGAAAACAGGGTCCATTGTAAATTAGACTGAGGACAGAGGTCTTGAGGTGGGGGAGTTGAGAGCAGCTGGTGATAATGGCGATGGAGCTTGTCCTGTGGGAGGTAGAGGGAGGGGCTGGGCTGGTGGTTTAGGTGGAAGAGGCAGCCTCCACACCATCCCACAAAGCTTCCATGTGGCTGGTTCCAGTTCCTTTTATGGCTGAGGCTCCGACACTACTCAACAGGGCTCTAATTGCCCCAGTAGAGTGTGGAATTGCTCTAGGTCACACATTATACCCCAGGAACTGCTTTGTGACTTAAAGAGTTGCCTAGATTTAGGAAGGTGATATCACTCTCTTTGGACCTCCTGGGGAAATAAAGGATGTGTGGCGTTGGCTCCCAGCCCTACTACACATACTCCTGTAGAGTTTGCTGCTCAGAAGTTTGGAAATAGGAGACCTAACACTGGTGGCTAAAAGGTCACAAATAGGGTCTGATTGAATGAAGGGCATTGCTTCTTGCAAGCATCATTCCTATGCCCCATGAGCTTGACACCACAATTTCAGCCTTGTAGGTTCTTTCACTGGCTTCTAGAATGCAATATCTTAAACAACAACAACAAAAACCCTTTCACAATTTAAGCATATTATTTAGTTAGATTGAATTATTTTTTTCTGTTTTTGTTTTCAAGACAGGGTCTTACTATGTGGCCTTTGCTGGTCTGGAATTCACTACTGTAAACCAGGCAGGCCTTGAATGCATAGAAATTCCCCTGCTTCTGTTTCCTGAGTGCTAGGAGGCAGATACCAGTTCTGGCTGTTCTATTTTTGTTGTTGTTGTTTTTGTTTTTTGAGACAGAGACCTGGGCAACTCAGGCTGGACTGGAACTAGTTATGCAGTAATGGATGCCTTTGAATTTATGATCTTCCTGCTTCTGCTTCCCCGGTGCTGGGATTACAAGTGTGCACCACCATGCTGGTTTTTGTTGTTTGTTTTTAAGCTGATTCTGTGCTTTATTTATTTATTTATTTATTTTGGTTTTTCGAGACAGGGTTTCTCTGTGGCTTTGGAGGCTGTCCTGGAACTTGCTCTGTAGACCAGGCTGGTCTCGAACTCACAGAGATCCGCCTGCCTCTGCCTCCCGAGTGCTGGTACTAAAGGCGTGCGCCACCAACGCCCGGCTGCTTTATTTTGTTTTTAAAATATGAAGCTCTTCACAAATTTTTGGCCATCCTTTTTCAGGGATTATGCTAATCTATTCCATTCCAGTTTTAGTCTTTGTGCTGCTGAATGAAGCACTCTTTGTGGTTTCTTTTTGCTTTTTGTTGTTGTTTGTTTTTTGAGACAGGGTTTGTCTGTATAACAGCCCTGGAACTCACTTTGTAGTTCAGGCTGGCCAGCCTCTGCCTCCTGAGTGCTGGAACTAAAGGCGTGGGCCACCACATTTGGCTTCTTTGTGGTTTATTGAGACAAGGTCTAATCCACAGTGGAACTCGAAGTGTAGCCCAGTTTAGTCTTGAACTCATGGTGATCCTCCTGCCTCAGCCTTCTGAATGTTGGGATTAACAGCCCCCAAGTCTAGTTTAAGTTGCTCCTCATAATTTATTTATTTATTTTTATTATATATGCATTGGTGTTTTGCCTGCATGTATATCTCTGTGAGGGTGTTGGATTCCCTAGAACAGGAGTTGTAGACAGCTGCCATGTGGGTGCTAGAAATTGAACCCAGGTCCTCTGGAAGAGCAGCCAGTGCTCTTAATTGTTGAGCCATCTCTCAGCCCTGGCTTTGGTCTCTTGATGGACTGACCTAGTTCCCAGGCATCCACCTGTGTGAACTAAAAACACCCATTTCCTCTCCTTTTGAAGGCTGTGCCGAGAGCTGCCAGCAGACAGTGAGACAAGCAGGCTTGGAGCTGCTTTAGGATCACCTTACATCGTCAGATACCCACTTCCCACCCCAGTGTCTCTCCTAATTACTCATGCCTGTGACCAGGGCTCATGCCTAGGAAGGAGGCTAGCGGCTGCCTTTGTGCCTCCTGAGGAGCGGAGGTGCTAAGGTTGCAGGCTAAGCCAGGCCATTTATGGAAAGCCACCTCGGCTGCTGCCAGGCACTCCCTGCCAGGTGGATATGGAAATCCCTGTTTACTCTCTGGGGCTTTTTATTGGCTGAAATGGCTCACCTTGGTATCTGTTACACATTCCCTTCCAAGAGCAGCCCTAGATAAGCCAGGTGTGGGGACAATCAGCTCTCAATCTCTCAGAAGCTGCCAAACCCCCAAATCAGCAAGAGACACCCACCATAGTCCAGACTCAGCCTTTTGGGGTTTTATTCTGCCTCACCCCATCCTTTTTCAGGACATAATGTTTTCTGCAGAGAAGAATGAAATCATTATATAGCAGATCAGTGAGAAAGCATAGAAAGATTCAGGGTTGAACGTAAGTAGTTACTACCAATATGACTTTACATAAGTCAGTTTACTTCTGTGAGACTCAGTTTACCCATCTGTTGAGTGTGAGAATCATATACATTTGTTACGTTATATATATTAATGCGTATTTGATGAGTAAAAACCAGGTGCTAGTGAGGTGGTGTATGGGTATCTGGCTGTCCATATTGAGTTGCTGTTTTAAGCCAGCACTAGGCTAAACCCTGGGGAATATGGCTGAAAATAAATATGGGGGTGGGGAAGAGTGCATGCGTGTTAAGACAGCACAAACAAGAAGGGCCAGTGAGCTGGGCACTTAGGAGGCAGAGCCAGGTGGGTCTTTGAGTTTCAGGACAGCCTGGTCTACAGGGAGAAACCCTGTCTCAACAAAGAAGAAAGGTCAGTGAGATGATTCAGTGGGTAAAGGCACCTGCCACCAAACCTGAAGACTGGATTTTGGTCCACAGGATCCACACAGCAGGAGGAAAGAAAGGACTCCCAAGAGTTGTCCTCTGGCTTCCACACTCACACAGTGAGTGTGCACACACAATAAATGATGGCTTTCG